TCATAACAGCATCCTACGTTGAGTGAAAAAGACAGACAATACCTGAAATATGTAATCGTTTGGAGTTGGGTCTTTGTTGTTATAATTAGGGGTGAAATTATGTGGCATGCTGGCGTGCCCAGCGATCGATGCGATCCTTACGCCACAGGTGCGCCGGGCTCGGCCCGAGTTCACTAACAAGGCTACATTTAAACGTTGATGTATGTAGATCTATGAGCAGTTATTAGTGAGCTGTGAGCAGTTAAATACTCGTTATTTTACTAGAGTTTCGTATCGATTAGGTAATATGATGATTGTAAAAAATAGGTAGGTAGGTACCTAGTACAATCTGTCGTCTGTAAAAATGTGTTTAGGTAAAGTCCACAGAGTGTTAGACTATGACTGCTCCGTCTGGGGCTCAACAATGAATATTAACTTTAAAGTTGCTGAATTTAGAGGTTTGCCTGCTTTCGGATGGGATCCAGTTAAACATAAACTAGAAAATAAAGTTTTTTCAGAAATAATGTTACAGGCTACAGGTAAAATACCAATTGTGAATGTTGCCAATTCAGATATGCGAAATTAAAAATAGTTTGCGATTACGATTGCACAAAAATAACGAACGCCATGCGGGCTTGTCTGGTACTGATAATAGCACCGATACAATAAAATATAAATAAAATCTTCACAAAAAATATTTTGCCACTGAAATTGCGGATTGCGATATCCAATCCCTGCCTTCCGGGTCCAAAAATTTACATTGTTAATCTTCTCATTGTCAAACCGCAGATGTTTCTCATCCTGAATAATGCGGATGATGCATAATTCAGCGGATCTTGTATATTGTCAGACAACGCCATCTATCTCGCGAATTTTACACAAGTACGTCCTTACGCTCCTTCAGGACGTCATGAATAAAAGAAAAATCTCAGCAAAAGAAATTGTTGAAGTATGTAAAGATGGAAATAATATTCAACAAATACTTTCATGGTCATGCACTAAACAAAGATAGGTATTGTATGCTCCATTATACTTTATTTAGAACACCCCTCAATGCAAGCTGAAATATGTTTTAACAATTACATATACCTAGTTAATAAGGTATGCTACCAACAATAAAAATAACAATATAAATAATATCCAAGTACCTACTGCTGATAATATCGATGTAACAGCAATAAAAGGCATAATTATAATGGACGCCTTCTCGCTTTTGATTACTGCCTCTTTTGTGAGAATCTCTCCAGGCCATGAGAAGTAATAAGGGAGATAATTTTGGATCGGAGCTGATTTATAATTCATCTAAATCTATATTGTATCATTTAGAAACACATAAAGAACTCCCATCTTACTTTCAGAGTGTAGAGAAAAAACGCCCCTATGCTGAATTTCACATGAAATTACTTTAAACTACTCGTACCTTTACTACTATCTATATTCTGGTTGTTATTTCTGTTAAATTACTAAAGTATATCTGCTACATAACTATAAATCAATTAAATGTATCCTTTCAGTCAGTATATTATGAAGTTGGTCAATAGGCATTATGTCTCATCGTCATCATCATCATTTTAGCCATAGGACGTCCACTGTTGATCATTGGAGGAGGTCCAATGATTTCTTCAATGTTTCAATGTCACACTATGTCTCAGTAAGTCGCAAAAAAGCGAAACCACAATGAGGTTTTATTGTAAAATTAGATCATTATAGAGTTGGTGAACAGGTGATATCATAAGTTTCTCTATTACTAATTAATTTAACAGCTCATAAAAGCAGTATCAATCAACTCACAAATTTGAAACGACCACCAAACCCACATCATCTATTTTAGTTTTATCTCCAACCCAAATTAAACTTTGTGGTTCGCATTAATGCAATCAATTATGCCATAAACCGCGTATAATAACAAATTTTGCCACACATTTTGCAAAGGAAACATAATTTTAATGCTCGTGAATAAATTCAACCTCGTTTTTAATCTAAAAAGCGTTAGAGTTATCGCGAAACTAATCGTAAATGCATAGAACGTTGTGCTCGATCGACGTGAAATCCAGACCGCAAATTAAAACTGTGAACAGTAGGCCCAGACTTATTGAGTTTATTTTATAACATTGACTTTTCTCAATATAATAAACAGCTCACAATTTTAAGTATTCCGGCGAAGTACCTACTTCCTACAAATCTACTAATTATAATCCTAATGGGCGGATGGATGGATGTTAATTACTCTTTCACGCAATAACTACAGAATACGAAAACCATAATAAGGAAGTGCCAAATCAGGCTAAGAACTCGTGGCGCGATTTTTACCCGCGCCCGCGGCGATTGCGGGCCCGCAGCTTCTGTAGAATGCAGATAATGTATATAATAATTAAATTAAAAAAAATAAAACCGACTTCAAATGCGTGAACACAAAAAAAAACTAAAAATTAAAAATATTGCGTATAAAAAAGTTCATCCCCAATTTTCCACCCTTGGGGGTGAAATATTTTCCTCAAATTTGCATGAAACCACCCTTTTAATAATACCTATTCAACAAAAAATAATCGTTCAAATTGATTTATAATCGGCGGAGATATTGCGTATAAAAAAGTTCATCCCAAATTTTCCGCCCTTGGGGGTTGTTTTTTCTATTATTAAATTTAAATGGGACCACCCTTGAGGTATTACCTATACGCCGAAAAAAGATTTGTTCAAATCGGTTCATAATTGGCGGAGTTATCGCGTAACAAACATAGAAAAAAAAAAACATACCGGTCGAATTGAGAACCTCCTCCTTTTTTGAAGTCGGTTGAAAACGAATGCACATCTCACGCACGACGCGGTTTTCGCCTCAATTGGTTTTTATGTGACTGCAGACAAAAGCTAGTTCAGTGAATTTGTAAAGAAAGCATCGAGTCATTTGTCATATTCTTTGTCAATTTATTTTCTATTGAAAAATTATACCGACATGCGTGACGCGTGTCCCTGTACATACATTGACGCCACAATTAGACATGAGTAATAAATAAGTTGCCTTTAAATAAATTAAAGGTAGTTTTTGATGCCGTGACAATGTATTATGGCAGTAAATAATTCATGAGAGAGTATGGCACGCACGAAGTTCGCCTCATATGCTGTTCAGAAAAAGTGGCTACACTACGCATACTATGTAAATCCACCACCAAGCTATTTTAAATACCTAAATAATTTACTTTGAATACTGCAGAACTGCTAAACTCGAGTGGCAGTGGGCAGGGTACATAGCTTGTAGAGCTATATAATAATAATAATAATTCTTTGTGGCGAGCTGTTGGTGAGTACTGAGTAGCGACACCACGGGGCCTGTTGTTAACCCGAGTGCTCCCGAGAGTCGATCAAGACCCTCGTCTTCGGCTTGCCGAAGTGGAATCCGAGAGGGTCTGCAGGACTTTCACCTCTGGCTTGCCTTAACCGGCCGGCCAGAGTGGAGCCGCTAGAGCTATATGCTCCAGGGGTGGAAGTGTTAAAGGGCATAACGCCGCGAGTAACTTCGGAGAAAGCGCAGCACACCTCTCTACACCCCTGAGCTGGCAGACGCCAATGTTGCCCCTCAGTCCGGTCTATACGACCCATGACGCCAGGGGGGGCCCATTTAGTCGCTGGCTAGTCACCGCCTGCCATTTTTTCAGTCCGAGACTATGAACCAGGCAGGTGACCCGTAGTATCCATCCATAGCCCAGTAACCAGTCCATCCATCCTTCATCCATAACCCTAGTCCATTATCAAATAACTGCAATAGCTCCTGTGCACAGGCTGGGGCTGGTCTCTGGCTACATCCCATGATATAGTCAGAGACTAGATCCAGCATGTGCACCACTTTTACTTTTGTCGATTATTTTTCGCTTAAAACGGCCTCTACGTGTTGGATCTGTATCCCCACGCAAGCCTTATAAAGGACCGGGCCACTTTTGACCCGTGAGCTCCAAAGCGTACAAACATAATAATATTGGGGCAGAAAATTTCTCGAGTGGTGACCTAGTGTGAGCAGACCTCGGGAACTAGGTGGACCGACGATCTGCTGAAGGTCGCGGAAAGTACCTGGATGCGGGCAGCGTAGGACCGATCGTTGTGAAATCCTTGAGGGAGGCCTTTGTCCAGTAGTGGGCTTCATTGGCCTGAAACGAACGAACCGCAGTATTATTGGTCGCAGGCTCCGTTATTTGAAATGGTCTACTTAAACTTTTTATCTTATGGTTAAGCCACATTAAGGGAATACGCAAACTTCGGCGTAATCACCCATTTGTCTGAAAGATGAGCCACACCGCAATTTGGGTAAATGTCAGCATTTGTCGGGCAACGCTTCTAGCAAATGGATAAGTTGTGGGAAAAATGTATAATGGAGGCATTTTATAAAATGACTAAGCTTTGCTCAAATGTTGTGATGATTTGTCAAAAGATATAAAAATGTTTATCATTGAAATTGTGTAATCACTGGCACTGTACCTATGCCTCCTACCCTTCTGCCTCTGGTGAATAAGAAAGGGGCATCCTTCTGCAGTAGAAACCAAATGACATGATGATTATTGCCAGACGACACGATATCAAGCTAATCAAGGTACAATAGCTGCAATAAGTACGACTTTGCAACAATTTTTTTTTAAATTCGAGTGTCAACTGTGCGTAATTTAATGGTACCTACAGTCGAGTTCATAAATTATAATGGCAGTGCCAATATTTTAACTCGATTCTAATGTACTAATATTATCTCGCTACTGTAATACCAATTTGTCGATAAGATCACAGCCATAGCAACGGCCAACAGAGGAAGAAAGAAAACAAAAATAAAATCCTATTTCGCTATTGCACTAACTGACGCCATAATTTAGGTGGACCAGATGTGTGTAATGTGTACTGTTATGTCACAAATTCGGTGGCAAAACTTGTATGGCACTTATTGCGGTCTACTAGTTGCTTTGTATGTGTATATCTGAATGATGATTACGAGTATTTAACCATGAATGTAGCACCCTAATCATACATTTTAATTTTTTTGTCCACAGAATGCCGCGGCAAGGAGTAACAAGCGCGGGGTGAGGTGACGCGGGGGCGCCATGAGCGCTCCGGAGCCGTTCGTGCTTCAAGCGCTGCAGGGCTTCGTGCACGGCAGCGAGAAGTGGCCGGGGCCTCGCGCTGTTAAGATATTTGTGGCCTCCGCTTACAATGGTAAGCGCTTTTCAGCTTAATTCCCGATTACATCGCTTCAAGCGGTCGCGCTGCAGGTCTTCGTGCACAGCAGCGAGAAGTGGCCGGGGCCTCGCGCTGTCAAGATATTTGTGGCCTCCGCTTACAATGGTAAGCGCTTTTCAGCTTAATTCCCGATTAAATCGCTTCAAGCGGTCGCGCTGCAGGTCTTTGTGCACAGCAGCGAGAAGTGGCCGGGGTCTCGTGCTGGCAAGATATTTGTGGCCTCCGCTTACAATGGTAAGCGTTTTGTAGCTGAATGGTCACTAGATGAAACTAACTAAACTAACTTCATCCACTCCAGCTAATTCTTTATTAGTACGTAGACACTTTTCAGGGCACACTTATAATACTATGCGCAACCAGCACTTCGGTACAACACATCGGCAGAAGAAGTGGTGGAAGAAACTCAAATGTTTACAGGCACAAAAATAATAGCACATAATGAACAAGTGTTTGATGTGCAATAGAAAATCTTCAAATCGTATTAACTAACAAGCGTATTACCTAACAAGCACCTTCTTTTGTATTCAAAACAAGACTCATCCTAGAATAAAGAAACCCAACAGAAACTTGTGGCGTGCAATGATATATCACTTTAAAAGCAGCTTTCAGAACATGCTATATTTCTGTTGTCATAAAGTCTAAAGAGTTATACGAGGGGGAATTGTAAAACGCAAAAGTATTCTGGAACAACTGTAAGCCGGGGAAACTAGCTCAGACTACAAACTGCAGTTATCTAAGTATACAGGCAAAGGAGTCGACACAGTCACCCCTAGAATATCAACTGAGTTAGGGCTTGTTCTATGGAGACATCCCGTTTCTTGCAGGATCTTTTTTTACAGAATTCCGTTTAGTAGTTAGTAGACGTGTTTTATTATTAACGTTTACACGACCATCCCTTTTACAGCGTCCCGCAAAATCCCGATCTGTTCGAATTATAATTCGAATTTCAAACACACAAGTGTCTTCACCAGTGGGACGTCCACCCACAAGGTGGACCGACGACATTATAAAGGTAGCAGGAAAGCGCTGGACGCAGGCCGCTACCAACCGGGTAACATGGAAAGCATTGGGGGAGGCCTCTGTTCAGCAGTGGACATCCTATGGCTGAGGTGATGATGATGATGATGAAGTGTCTTCACATGATACTGCATAACTGGATCCCGCAAAACTGGATTGGCGTAGGATAGAGCCCTAAGGCAGGGAAAACCGGCTCGACCTTCAAACTGCAGTTAAAGTGCAGGCAAAAGAGTCGACCACAGGCACCCCTAGAATTTGAACTGAGTTATTGTATTCTAACACATGGCTCTCGCGAATGCCTGAACAATGGGTGGCACGTGCCAAGCATAATATGAAGCCTGGAATATATTTCTGCTGTAACTCTTCCTAATTTTGTTGCGGACGTGCTATTTTCAATCCAAGTTATTATGACATTTGACGTTGAAGAAATGGGCTAATAATATTTTCATCCTAGCTAGTTATTTTGTAGAATTTACCTGGATTTCTTAAGTAACCTGTGTAACACAGCAAAATTACCTACGCTTCTTCAAAATTACGCTTAAACTGGAGTCAAAGTCATGTCAAGCACAGATCTGAGCATGTGGTCGTTGTGTTTCAATAGGTACCTACTTTAATTCCTGAGTATGGTTCATACTTCAGTATGATTTATAAAGTAATTTAAGCGTAAATACTCGCACTGTGCTCAAATTCACGGGCACAACTATACAGGGTGTTTGGTAAATGGGTATATGAGCCGACACTAGCCCATGTTAACATGGGCATATAAATGGTATGGTGAAGTCAGAAATTTGATATCATCATTGTATTTTTTTAAATTTTCATACAAAATAAATTTTATAAAATCCGGTTTGTATTTAAATTTTCATACAAAATAAATTTTATAAAATCCGATTTGTATGAAAATTAAAATAATTAAAATGAAGATATCAATTTTCTGACNTGATATCATCATTGTATTTTTTTAAATTTTCATACAAAATAAATTTTATAAAATCCGGTTTGTATTTAAATTTTCATACAAAATAAATTTTATAAAATCCGATTTGTATGAAAATTAAAATAATTAAAATGAAGATATCAATTTTCTGACTTCACCATACCATTTATATGCCCATGTTAACATGGGCTAGTGTCGGCTCATATACCCATTTACCTAACACCCTGTATAGTGAGGTACATAAAGCTAAGAACTTGTTTACACAGGAATATCTAAAAGGCTTGTTGTCCCACATAATATTTTATGGCACGCCAAATTCGACAAAGTTTGGCACAAAGTTAGGTATTACTCCACTTACTCTTGGCTTAGCGCTCAATACTACTTTGAATAGTGTTCACTCTGCGAGTTCGGTGCTCAAACTTGATGTGCTCCGAGCCGCAGAAACAGGGGGAAAACTGTCAACAAGTCAACAATTATTGTAGATATATTTAATACCTAATTTATTACATAATGGGGTTTAACGCCACTCATTAAATGGCCTACTTTTTATGAGATGCCAAAACACGATTCATGGAGGAATTCATTCACTTCAGAATTGTTGTTTACCGATACATTTATTAATAATAAACTTATTGTTCTAGATTTCCGCGAGGAGAGACGCCAGATCCTCGAGCTGGTGGGGCCGGAGTTGCAGTCCACGTACGATGATCGATACATCGAAGTAAGTTTTACACTAGAAATAAAATCGATATCATCATTATAAATCGTGCCATCCACGAAGACGACGACATTTTTGGTCAAGAGAAGAGCGGAACATTCGCGGAAGAATTATGGGGCGCGTCTTCGTGGATGGCACTATCTTTAGTAGATATCCATCAACCCTTTGCTAAATACCAACTTAGTCAATAGTGAAACCAATTTTTATCTACTTTTACAATGTACACTGCATAATAAATACTCATAAAAACATTCAATATGCCCAGACATCGAATATCATAAATGGGGTAATTAATCTAATTATCATTTCATAGTTTTATTCAGAAACCACTATCTTTACGTCCCCCTTTAACAGGTTTCAACGTTCTGTATTCTGAGGTTTCAACAATAAGTTGTATTCTAGGAAAAAGTCCAATATGTCCCAAATAAAATCCATGAAATCGCGTAACGACGACATCGGCCATCTAGTATTCATATACTTATTTTCTTATTATGTCTGCAAAAGCGAACCTAAATACACGTGATAGTTTTCAAAGCTCCTAGAAGGGAAACCTAGTTATTCATAAATCTGATAGATTTTGGTTGTGATTGTGGTTGTTACAGAAGTTACAAACAAAACATTCCAAAGCTATGCCTCCCACGTAAACAAAAACATTGTCCAGACCGAAAGCGGCAGCTAACAGGATTATAACTTTTGTTCGCGATACTAAAACTGGCTGTACGGGAGTAACGTTACAGCGAAACTTGGCCGCACGTAGTAATTCCCCAAATTCCCTAATATTCCAGGAACTAGCAATCGGAACTGTATGATCAGTTTCGTGTTTGAGATTACTACAACAGTATTGATACGGCAATTCAAGCTGGCCTACTGACGAACAACTTCAACTAAGTTTTGCGAGCTGTGATAGATACGTGTACCTACCAGTCAACGTGAAATTTTGAATTCCGCAGTTTATAATGTAACGCATTAGATTGTAAACTAACAGTGGGTTTATGATGACGATGATGACATAATTAATGATAATTATTATCAGGTTTACAAATACTTCTCAATCTACATCATACCACAGTTTATTTTATTCGGAAGCAATTCAAGAAGACAAGATTTGTATGACTACGACCACCCACCATGTAAATCCCAAAAAGACAAAAGCATTTTTGTGAAAACCGCCGTAGGAGGTTATTTAATTATACAGCGTACCTACCTCGATGTTTGTTATTTATTAATATTGTATCGAGAAGAAAAGCCTTCCGTACTTTTCATTGATTTTTGTGGTACTTACGAGTAAGTATTCCAAGTCGAAGTTACGAATATTCTCATTTCTATAATTTCATAGCAAGTCCAATGACAGGTCACACACATACCATGAGTATTATTGAGTATGTACCAGCCCTTTTCTGCGTAATTTGTTAATTTAGGTATCACTGAGAACTTTATCTAAGTTTTAGCAAAGTTGGTGAGCAAACAAAAATTTATTTGCTTCTCAAAACCTATTCTAATGAGATTAAAACTTTCTTTCGATCTGAAAACTGCTTGTATGGTTATTACGTTACAACTGAGACTGTGCCTCTCATAATTCCGAATATACCCGAAAGTTTTCAGTAACAAGAGTCGCAAGACAAGACGTCGGAAATTTCAACTCTCGACTCCGAACGTGGTAGTAGACTAAGGGCTAGTGAACGCCAGACCTACGAGTACGTTATCTATACTTCTATACTAAAAATATTATAAAGCTGAAGAGCTTTGTTTGTTTGTTTACTTGAACGCGCTAATCTCAGGAACTGCTAGTCCGATTTGACAAATTATTTCAGTATTAGATAGCTTAATAGCTTTCCTCAGCCTTTATACTATCACGCTACGACTAATAGGAGGATAGCAACAATGAAAAATGTTGTGAAAACGGGTTTTCACGCGTAGGTACGTCGCGGGCACAGCTAGTTTTTTATAAGCTGAAAGTTTGTCAGTGCATGCTCCCAACATAGGTAAGAACGTTAGTGCATCATGAAGTTTGGCTCATCGTAACTTTGGCCTAAAATGGTAGCAAGGAATTGGAACGGTCAAAACTCTCTGGCTGAGTTAACAACTTCTAATTATTGCCCTAATATACTCGTACATGAAGTTTAGCTTTCATGGTATAACGTACCTCTACTGGGAGCATGCGCTGACAAACTTTCAGCTTTTATAAAATTTAATAACGTACTTAGTTCTGGCGTTCACTGGCTCTTAGTCTATAGGGGAATTCGACGCTCGAATGTTACCAATGCGGGGATATTTAAATAAGAGACGCTAACAAGCCCTTTCTTTTGAAAATGCGACGTATTTGTATGATGGAACTTGAAAAGTATTTCAACATCTAAGATTTTTCTGTGAAACTTTCGAATTTGAGTGAAACGATAGCGGTGATATTTTAATCCATAAGGATTTATATCTATTGGTTTTAGGTTTTCCTCGCAGGCTTCAAATATGTATTAAATTGCAAAAGCTTGTAAACTTTTTATAGTTGTTCAGTTCAGAAACACTCTGCACAAATGTTACCTGAACCATAAAATAACATTGAATAGTTTGTAGTACAATCGTGATACCTACATTGTAATCAAACTGTTGGTACACTCATTATCGCAACTTGAATCTTAATAAGAGATGACAGCAGTTAAATATTTGAATATGACAATGTAGACACAATAAAACTATGCAGACCAATATTATCATACTGAACTATTTTCGTGGTTTTAGAGGCCATTGAAATCAGCCTATTGTTATGTAAAGATACTATCGCGACGTCACACGTGACATGTTGCCCCGATACTGAACTTGTTTTCGGCAGCTTCTTAGCTCAGCTACTGGCAATAAGAGCTACTTTAGATGTTTATTTTGGTATAAATTTAACCCACTTGACAATGCAAATTAGAGGAATACTCCCCAGTCTTGTTTGTTGCTCCACTGTCTTTTATTTAGGAAGACACTTTTGGTTGGTACTGGAGTGCAAAGAAGTACTCAACAAAAACATTTAGTTAAACTCTACGCCTGGTTAATTACTACCAGTTTATAAAAAGCCGTATGACCGATTTGATTATAGTTTATTCATTTCAAAGTCCATGCGTTGCACTTAAACGCAATCGTTATAATGTTGGCTGTGTTGCACTAACTTACTTTGACCGTTACTTTTTACAATAACCGGTGCTTTTTGTATATGTATATAGAGTATGACAGATTTTTGACGTTTGTTAAATTCAAAGTAAGATGGTGCAACCCAGCCAAATGCGCTTTTTTAGCATTTTAAATGGCAAAATCTAAGCTTTACTCTAGCAATAACTCTTTCCAGTTTTAACTCGTTCCGTGAATTTTCAACAAGACAACTTTAAACAGGAATAAAAGTAAATTATTCGTACTAAAAACAGACTAAAAACACAACTGCGGCAATTGTTTTTATGAGTTTTTAGTCGAAATATATTCTACGAACTCATGACTATCAACAACACTGAAGTGACGCCCGTATTCACAAACATTGCTATATTTGCTATGAGGTCTCACGGTGCGCGAGGACGCACAGAGTGATACACGAACCAATCACAGAGCTCTATTCAACGCTGTACGTTAGATTTTCTGCTTCCACATAAGCAAGCATCTTTTGTGAATACGGGCATGAGTTATATTCGTTTCTGTTGTTTCGTACACCCACGTCATCAATTTCAATGCGGGCGATACGAGATGACCTAGTCCCGTGACTAGTTCAAATGGCTTTTTGAGGTAGCACTCTAGTTTTGATGGCACATCGTAAAAGAGGAAACATTTCCCAATCTGGATTCTAGTTTGGTTGTCTTCATATTAAAGTTGGAATTGTACCTATTACCATTGCAGGAACAGACAGTACTTATTTTTGTGGAGTTAACAGAGAGAGAACAGAGTACTTAGTTGGTTGGCATTGTACTCTAGTAAGCCACTAAAGGCTTACTAGAGTATGCATTGTAGGGTTCTTTTTTCTTTTTCAGGGGGGGGGGGGGCTTGGTCTCTGATNTCTTTTTCAGGGGGGGGGGGGCTTGGTCTCTGATAATCTTATGCCATGTAAGGGGGAGGGGGGGTGATTGGTATCGTAGCTCATAAGTTAGTTTAGTACTATCAACTATTATCTTATAAAAGAAAATAATTAGTCTTTTGTTCTAACAAGCTGACTCGACGAAAGGGCAGTGGCAATCCATGTATGGAAGTTGGACCAAGTGCTGCCCAATGAAACTATAGTGCATTTTGTTCCTCAGGCCAATACTAATGTGTTAACCGGAGCGCACTGAAATCTATCCCTGGAGTTAAGAGAAAAAAAGAGTTTTGTTTTGAATTATTTACATATAAAATATCATCGACATATACGTACTACGCATAAGATTTCGCGGTTGTGGCATTAAATAACACTAGGTTGAACTTAACCATACTGCATCCGTACACCTTACTTTAGTACGACGAGCAGCTGGACAAGCTGAAGGTAAGAAGACCAGAGTTATGCACAAGTTGTTGAACAAGCTAAGGCGAAATTGACAATAACCATACACTAGAAGCTGGACAAGCTGAAGGTGAGAAGACCAGAATCATGCACAAGCAGCTGGACAAGCTAAGGCGAAATTGACAATAACCATGCACTAGCTAGAAGCTGGACAAGCTGAAGGTGAGAAGACAAATCATGCACAAGCAGCTGGACAAGCTGAAAGTGAGAAGACCAGAATCATGCACAAGCAGCTGGACAAGCTAAGGCGAAATTGACAATAACCATGCACTAGAAGCTGGACAAGCTGAAGGTGAGAAGACCAGAATCATGCACAAGCAGCTGGACAAGCTAAGGCGAAATTGACAATAACCATGCACTAGAAGCTGGACAAGCTGAAGGTGAGAAGACAAATCATGCACAAGCAGCTGGACAAGCTAAGGCGAAATTGACAATAACCATGCACTAGAAGCTGGACAAGCTGAAGGTGAGAAGACAAATCATGCACAAGCAGCTGGACAAGCTAAGGCGAAATTGACAATAACCATGCACTAGAAGCTGGACAAGCTGAAGGTGAGAAGACAAATCATGCACAAGCAGCTGGACAAGCTAAGGCGAAATTGACAATAACCATGCACTAGAAGCTGGACAAGCTGAAGGTGAGAAGACAAATCATGCACAAGCAGCTGGACAAGCTAAGGCGAAATTGACAATAACCATGCACTAGAAGCTGGACAAGCTGAAGGTGAGAAGACAAATCATGCACAAGCAGCTGGACAAGCTAAGGCGAAATTGACAATAACCATGCACTAGAAGCTGGACAAGCTGAAGGTGAGAAGACAAATCATGCACAAGCAGCTGGACAAGCTAAGGCGAAATTGACAATAACCATGCACTAGAAGCTGGACAAGCTGAAGGTGAGAAGACAAATCATGCACAAGCAGCTGGACAAGCTAAGGCGAAATTGACAATAACCATGCACTAGAAGCTGGACAAGCTGAAGGTGAGAAGACAAATCATGCACAAGCAGCTGGACAAGCTAAGGCGAAATTGACAATAACCATGCACTAGAAGCTGGACAAGCTGAAGGTGAGAAGACAAATCATGCACAAGCAGCTGGACAAGCTAAGGCGAAATTGACAATAACCATGCACTAGAAGCTGGACAAGCTGAAGGTGAGAAGACAAATCATGCACAAGCAGCTGGACAAGCTAAGGCGAAATTGACAATAACCATGCACTAGAAGCTGGACAAGCTGAAGGTGAGAAGACAAATCATGCACAAGCAGCTGGACAAACTGAAGATGAGTTGACACCATTCACAAGCAGCTGGACAAGCTGAAGGTGAGATGATAAGAACAATGCACAAGCAGCTGGACAAGCTAAAGGTAAGAAGACTTATTCATTATTTCCAAAATGAACTTCTCTGCTTCATTTTGGAAATAATGAATTTCTGTCAACTAATCAAACTATTAAAACAGCGCTAAATCATCGTAGATAGTTTTTAAGTTATAAATGGTGTAACTAACACGACTATTATTCCTTCAGCAAAATATTAACCTCCGTAAAATTCGCATGAGTAGGACTTATATATCCTAGCGAACGCCTAACAAATCCACCGAACGTTCCCCAAGGCGCCTCACAATGGGATGAAGTGCCAAAATGCACTCTATGACGCTACGCCAACTTTCTGTCCCCGAGGCTTTGCAAGTATTTAAGGCCTTTGTAACAGAATTCTACTCGATTTTAGTTTAAATCTAACTTCGATTTGAAGTTTATTCAGGCAAAACACAGTTACTCAAAAGTATGTAGAATTTTTTTTTATTGTATTTAATACTGTATCTCATGTTGATAGCCAAATAAAATAAATAAATAAATGGTAGATGTAAAAACAAAATTTAAATTCATGATGCTTATGCTATATGTGTCCCGAACAGGCGTGTTTGTATGATTTATTAATGATTAAACGAACTTACCTTAGTGACGTTCTATCATAATTATACGAGGGCTTCATCCGAAGAAATTAGAAGAATAATTGTAGTTTCGTGCAACTACTCGCTAATCATACACAATAGTTTAAAGTAATAAAAAAATAACACAGGTAAAATAAAATCCTAAACTGGTATCCCCAAGCAATCATCATAACGGTCGCTCGTTCAAACTTCATTTAGTTGAAAGTGGTAGGATACACAAGACAACATCTACAGATGTTGTCGTAGTTACTATAACACCATGGACAAAATAATATTTCGTATTCTTGGGTAAGTATGTGGTGGGAGGGTTCTAATTTCTTCGGATGAAGCCCTCGTATAATTATGATAGAACGTCACTAAGGTAAGTTCGTTTAATCATTAATNTGAAATAGTGGTTTTATTCCTGCAAGTAGCACCTACTACGCCTGACATAGTAAGGGCAAGCTCTCAACGGCAGTCATCATCGTCCGGTCAGCGCTCTCGAACACACACAAACGCATACAGTCCACTGCAGTCCACCACACAAGTAGTTAATGTTTTTTTATTATATTGCTAATAAAATACAAATATTTTTTCAAAAATATTCTGCATATGTATTATGCGTAATATGGATAACCTTGAAGTGTCATACGGATCATCTTACGTGAAAAAGACTATACGTAACCCTACACTGCGCGTGGTACGACACGCACATGGCCAATTTTTAGTGTCTGTAATAAGTTTTTTTTGTAAATTATTATATTCTTAGCCCCTATATAATCTTATATAATATTAATTAATAGATATTCCACCAATATCAAAACGTAGTTATTCAAACAGGAAATATAAAAATACTCTGCATGCGTAGTACCAATGCGCCCATAATTACGTTTTCACATTATCAAATAAATTAGATTACGTATTAGTAGATGTTTATATCCGTTGTCTAGTACCCATAGTACAAGCTTTGCTTAGTTTGGGACTAGAAGCGCAGTGTAAAATTGTCAAAGGATATTTATTTAAAAAAAAATAACGATGTTGCTAATACCGAGTTCTTGGTGTATGACTTAGATAGATAGATAAACGTTTAAACATCGAAACACAATAATATAACAATTATATCAAAGAAACAGATAAATACTAAAAGGATGAAAGTTGCAGCTCTATGTAGCGCACCTAGTGGCGCCATCTGCGAATAGCGTGTACAAGACTAAAATAATTCAACGCCATCTTTCGGCGGCAACAAAACAAAATACTTCACTGGCAAAATAATGTGCTTATTATGTTCGTCAACGAGGTTCAAATACGTGCAGTTTTTGTTTTAGTAGCTAGATGTCGCTGTGCGTACTTGACTCGCGGTATCATTTGTTTTTTTCCTGTCCTTAAAGCAGTCCTCAACCATTATGCATTAAAAAACAAACAAACTCTCAGCTTTAGTTTTAGAAACTAGCTGTGCCCGCGAACTTTTATCGCGATAAATTTTTGGTCGGTTGCTTAGCTGAAATGCTAAAGTGAACCGCGAGATGGGCCAAGCATACTATGCGGGTAAATACCGAGACCAAGTGCGATATCGCACACTGACTGAAGTCTAGACGACGCACTGAAGTAGGTATGGGGAAGCAGGAAAGTACCTAACCCAGATTGCGTTCACACTATAATCTATAACGTCGCGGCAAATTTCATAGTGTACTTGCGCCAATAAAATTAAAATTAATATTATTAGAGCGTGTCGGACTCACGTACGAAGGTTTCCGTACGACAATTTTGTTGTTACTATTTATTTCAAGCATCTACCTATGTTCGTTATTAATATCGAACAAAAATCAGCAAGAAATCCCGTTTGTCATATGGGAGGAAATATTTATTTTATTCTATTTTACTATTTGTTGTTAAATGGCGGCAACAGAAATACATAATCTGCGAAAATTTCAACTGTCTTGCTGTCACGGTTCATGAGATATAGCCAGGTAAGGACGAAGCAATAGGGTCCCGTTTCATCCATTGGGTACAGAACCCTAAAAATACATTTAGTTAATACTTACATATTTATTTACATTTTGAGTTCTTATAATTAATATTATATGCCTATTACCCATAAACTTATAAAATATTGACATTTTGATAAATCCTGAATTGCTATTATTGCAGTCTAGTACCTATTTAACATCATCATTTTTCAGCCATAGGACGTCCACTGCTGAACATAGGCCTCCTCCAATGCTTTCCATGTTGATCGATTGGTAACGGCCTGCGTCCAGCGCTTCCCCACTACCTTTACGATGTCGTCGGTCCACCTTGTAGGTGGACGTCACACGCTGCGTTTTCCGGTACGAAAGTATTTAACATAATTTATGTCAATCATGCATTTAATTTATGTCAATACTTGAATTCAGAATTATTTAATTTACAAAGTTCAGTCGTTCAGTGTAGTTAGTGATTTATTATTTATTTATTTCAGTCGATTCTTAAAATGTATTTTCATATTCTCGTTTTCTTCAGGTCGTCATCTGGATATGAATTCTCAACTACGGAGACAGCTTTGAATGCCATTTCGGGTTCCTTTGGGATGGTGGGTACTTCTTTAGGCGGTGGTCTTGGTCCTGGAAAACATTGATAAACGATTTAATTGAATAATGTTAGCTGAACCATAAAAACGATCATACAACATTTAAATCGTAATCAAGTTTTAATGGAATGAAAATGGTTCAGGCCCCCTAGACAAAACGCACTTTTTGATCGAATCGAAAATAGAATCCGTCAAAACTCCATACAAAAAAGAGGCTTTTCAACCACTTTTCGACTGGTTTGCGATTATAATTTGCACTTTGTCTAGACCCACAGGTACACTTGCGTGAAAGACATTTCGCTAGTGTCATCGCGCTATTGTCTTTCGCGCAAGTGTCCCGATACGAAGGAAAATCCCTCGTCATTTAACTTTATTCTTATAAGTGACATGCTAGGACAATCTATAGTATCTTGCTTTAAACGATTGGCATTTTGGCAGATTAATCTTTGCCATTTTCAGTGCTGAATCGTTTAATACAAAGGTAAATAAAACTGGATGTGTTGAGTATAGCAAAAAGATCGTAAATACGGGAAACTGAATGGTCGACAGTATTGAGAGGAGAGTAGTAACTTAGTAGTAAGGAGAGTAAGTAGTAGCTAACAATAGTAACGAAACATACTAAAAATATGAAACGAAACATACTGAAAATATCAAATGAAAGAATAATGATGGCTTACCTCCTCCAAGGAGCATCTTGATCATATTGGAGCAAGGGAAGTCTATTGTGATGGTCAGAAGGAAGGCTCCGATCGCTGCTAGAGAGAAGTCGATCAGGAATCTATACATCTGGAAGGAAAGATAAGATTTTGTATGAAAATAAAATCAAACAACACTTTCATAAGCTAAGATAATATAATTTCAATTATAAATTATGCAACAGACAGAATAATTAGAAAATATTAGACTCATATTTTTTTTTCTTTCATAATTAAATAATAACAGTGCTACATCGAGTTGAAATGACGCGTCACGTCACGCTTGAGTAGATTTTTTACTCAAAAGTGACGTCACGCGACATTTCAGCTCAATATAATACTGTAATTGTTCGATTATGAAAAAAAATAAAAAATATGTCTCCAATTTTTATTATCTGTCTGACGGACCTTATAGAATTTCTATTTCGTTACCCAGTCATCATCTGTTCTCTCAAATCATATCAAATAGTTTATTCAGTAGGTAGGTATTTAGGCTTTCCAGGGCGCTTGCTTATATACGCCCCAAATACATATACCTTGCTCTACCATCACTCGTATATTATGGGCTGGTGTAGCGGAAGAAACTCAGTCACCTTTCTCAGCCTCTTTTTCAATTTATTCATGTCAAGGTACAAAAGTTTTCAAAAAGTACTCCAGCTTATGCTTGTGTTATGCAGCTGTTCATCAAAAAATTTCAGCTGTCACAGGAATCGGACTGGTGACTCTCAAAACAGTATTTGGTCGAATTCTCTCCTGGGCTGCTTACTAAATATAACAACTTACATACACTTCTTTGTATTTTTTATTATGGGACACAAACGAGCAAAGGATCGCCCGATGGCAAATGTATAACGCCGCCCAGAATTTTGTAGCTATATACTTAGGTATGCACGGGACTATTCCCACCTCTCGTTCCCACTGCAACTCCTGTGTAGCCAGGATCTACAGCTTGACCGCCACAAAAACCCAACCAATGAAGGTCAAGTTTGTCCAAGGTTTTGTATGTATGCACTTACTAAATGAATTAATGTATTAAACTTTTATCTCACAATAGCCGAACGGTGAAGGAGTCGGACTGACCGACTCGTAATCCGGGGAACGCGGGTTCGGTCCCCGCCGCCGCTCGACTATTGTGGTGAGCTCACTCGTGATACAAGCATATTTAGCTTAGTACGAGGGGCTAACGGGAGTATTTGTAATTTGTGTAATAACAAATTACTAATAAGATTTTTGGAAAAAAAAATATGGTAAACTTACAGATAAATTCACAGCAAAATAAATGGGTTGAAGAGTAGTCGCATTAATCAAGAAGATGAGCTGGTAGTGGATGATGTACATCGCGTATGACAGGCGGCCGAGGATCTTGAATACGTGGATCGATAATAACCAGTTGATAGGACCTGAAATCAGAAAATAATTGGTAAAGCAAGGTTCGACGAACGTCCATTGCTAGAAAAAGGTCTCCCCCAAGGACTAAGGTGTATAATTTGTTTAGTTTTGGCTTGATCTGACAACTTTTTCACAATGCGAGCTATTTGGTGGGATAAAATTTTCCTAAAACTAAAGATAAAGTAAAGATGTGGGTACATAAAATATGTACAGTCTAACTAAAGGTGTATTTATTGTGCTAAAGGTTCGGGTTTCAGTTCTTATCAACTTGAACCTGTGTGTGCTACAAGCACCACGTAAAAACTTGACACTTTGTAAAAAAGTTTATAGTATAAAATGGCTTCCAAATCCTAAGAATCCGTGACTTTCTGTTTCTGTCATGTAAAGATCCCTCTGAAGTAGATTTTTATGATAAAAACTTACCTCCATAGCCATGGTGGCACGCAAACACCATCCAGGCGATGCACGCAGCCCAGACCGGTCTTATGGAAGAGTTGATGAAGTTGTCAGCCAGTTGGTTGTCCCAGTCGGGCTGGATGTTGAAGTAAGTAGCGAACATAACCAAGAATGATGCCACAAAAGCTATGAGCCATCCTAGTATTGCGAATAGCTGAAAAGAAAATATCTTCTTAGAATATTATTATCTATAGGACGTATTAACATCTCGTTAGCTTGATCATGATAAAGAAAAGTCTAGGATTATTATTACAGTTTTTCCTGGATAAACAACATAGAAATATACTGACTGAGTGAAATGTTAGGCCATAAAATTGCTTAAACGCTTAATTTGTGATAAAATATGCATTTATAGTAGATGGCACATCGCGTCTTTTAGCGACTTGGCCCATGCGATGCCATGGTATTTTTGATATAACGTTAATTTAGGTGTTAGGCTGCAATTGAATCCATTCATAAGTCGTTGCGATTAATGGTAGCAAAAAGTTGTTCTAACTTGCATTTAGCTAGCGGCGATACCTACAAAAATGTGCACAAGTTAGCTACGTTCTACGTATTTAGTTTAGTTTAGCTACACAAAGAACCAGTAAAATAGTTTTAAAACTATTGTAAATGTAAACAATAACGTAAAAAGTAAGTTCTACGACAGATAAAAATAATGCCTCCGTGATTTATTGAAATAAACAATAAACTAATTAAGATTAGATCATTGATAATGACATTGATACTAAAATTTTTGATAACGATAGCGTTATCGTTTCTATTGTAAACCCTAATATTCAAAAACAATTAATATCTTAGAAATAGATATTGATTCACGAATTTACAAAGCGTCACGAATGTAATCAAGTCCAGGACGATGCAAAACGTATGCAAAAATAAAAACGTTTCAAGCTTATCGGAGCACTGGGGATTTCTCAAAAAGTGGACTTCTCAAAATGGGAATATCTCAAACAACGTGGAGTTCGCAGAACGGGGATGTCTCAAAATGGGGAGTTAGCTAAATGGACTACATGCAGCGGATACATGTGCTGTCAGTAGTAGCAGGTGGCAGCTTGATTTGGAATGGCAGTGCTTTACTTACCCAGTGCATTCTGACAGTCTTGCCGCGGTAGAGGTGAAGAATGTACCCGATCATCAGTCCGATGATGAACGGCGAAATCCGGTTAAGGGTCTGGACGTAGTAATACATCAGAAATTGTTGCTGGTCTTCGGGAGTACGTCTGTAATGAAATAAGTAAATTGAAATTAAAACTGGGACTTTAAAACATGACAATAAAATACATAATAAACTAAGAAAATAAACACAGAGACTTTTTACTATGTTAACTGTCTGAAGACCTTCATCACTTCGATTTGAGGATTATCTATAACCTTGCACATCATACATCAAATTCAATAACAAATTACCAATTACTTACCAAAAATACAGCTTTAATAAAATAATACTTATTGAGTTCTAAAAAAGTGCTTAATTTTAAGATTTAAATATGTTGCGATCCCAGGGCCTCAAAAAAGGTAGCTGCTGAATGAAAAAAAATGAGGGGTTTGACTTTGTGGCATTCCTACATTGAACAATGGACTATCATCTATACTATACTTATTATACTAATATTATAAATGCGAAAGTAACTCTGCCTATCTGTCTTGCTTTCACGCCTAAACCATTGAACCGAATTTGATGAAATTTGGCATAGAGATAGTTTGAGTACCGGGAAAGGACATAGAATAGTTTTATCCCGGTTTTTGAAATTGTGATAAAGTTTTTCTGTGACAGACAAAATTCCACGCGGGCGAAGCCGCGGGCTAGCAATAAAATATGTTTCAACTTACGCTAAAGACACCACGGCGGACTGGAAGTTGTTGACAAAGTTGTACGCTGTAGTTCCAGATAAAGCTACTGCGAGCGCTGCTATCAGTGCACTCCAGGCTATGCGGGACCGCTGTCCCAGTATCCAGAAAAGAACGAGAGGAGACGCGACGTGCAGTTGCATGTCGATGGCTAGGTACCATGTGTGGGAGAGGCACTGGAAGGTATTGTTATTATTAGCTAGTGAAGTCGGTCGGATTAGCAAGCTGAAGTGGCAATGGGCAGGGCACATAGTACGCAGAACTGACGGCCGATGGGGCGGCAAGGTTCTGGAGTGGAGGCCACGTACCGAAAAACGCAGCGTGAGACGTCCATCCGAACGTGGACCGACGATATCATAAAGGTAGCAGGAAAGCGCAGGTCGCTACCGACCGGGTAACATGGAAAACATTGGGGGAGGCCTATGTTCAGCAGTGGACGTCCAATGGCTGAGATGATGATGATGTTGATGATGATGACGTCGGTCAGCTATTATAGGAGGTATGGAAGTATAGTCATGTCTTGGCAGATTAAAGTTCGATTTCGAGAAGATCGAAGTTGATCGACGTTGAGGTTATTTAGTGTAAGATTCTGTTGCGCAACTAAAATAATTATTATTTTGAAAGACTTTGGTCACAAATATTATTTAGGAAGCTACGAGTATGTAGACCCGTAACAGCTTAGTTGTTCATGCCTTTAGGAAAACCTTTAGGAAACTACTGTTGAAAATAATTCTTATGGTGCTGTCACGTTATACTTTTTTCAAAAAGAAAGCACAATATTACAAGTAAATAAGTTTCACAGATTTTCTTAATAAACATGACCATCCATCCATTGTAAAACTCACCATGTTCATAGGATTGACCCAATTCTGAACGAAAAGCAAAGTGCTCCACCAATACACCCTGCAATCATTCACGTTCTTCGCTACCACGTCCCAGTACGGGCCATCGGTAGTTCTATGAAGAAACGAAGCTTGGATCAAAACCATTGCTGCTAGAATCGGCCACATTCGGAGAAGGCGGTGCAAGTAGAACAGATGGAGCTTTCTGATGAGGGACACTAGAAAAAGAAAAATAGTTTGCAGTCGTAAAACGTAGTTGGTTTTCATTAATTCTAAGTATTAGATCCTAGTTTCTTTTAGGTACAATGAATCATCAGATCATTTGATCTCTACTGCGGAAATACGACCCTCTCTAATTTACCAGATAATGGAGCATTTGCCATACACTCATTTACACTCCCCCCGCTGCCCAGACGGGTTGAAGTGGTTTGGAAAAAAAGAAAATGAAATGTTACCTACTTCTTGACACTTTAGCAGCTGTTGTATAGACGACAAGAAGTCCGCTAATCATGAAGAAGGTATCCACTGTGATTGTTGCACTGGTAATCCAAAGGTTCCAGAAAGATCTGATGAACTAGAAAGATTTCAAAATTAATGAGTTAGTGAAGAAAGTAACGGAAATATGATTCCAAATTAAACTAAATTGATACTATATACTCTACCTAATCAATGAACGCTTAAGCATCACCAAAAACTTATATACGGTTTTCACCAAAGTGGAAGAGGGTAGATTGCTTGAATAACCTCTCTTCTACACTTTAGTTGAAACCGGTCCTCACTTTATAACTATGAAACAACGTATACTCACTTCAACAATGTCTAAAGGATTCTCCGGAATGTATGACAGTTGTGTGACAAAAGTGTGACCCACGATGACCCACATCATGGCGAAAGATCTTATTCCGTCCAAACAAGTAATCGCGTTGGGATTTGAAGGGAAGATGAAGAAATTATTTGTGTTTGTGTATAGAGAAAACGTTGTGCACATTTTGTTGGCTTTCTTTGGATCTGTAAATAAAATTGTAACAGTTATGGATACAATTTTAAAAGACTTAAGTTGAATTTGAGAGTATTAAATTTTGAAAAACACTCAAAAAAACTATTTGATGGTATAGAGACAACCCAAGTAAAAAATTGAAATTTGTCATTATTTTGCAAAATACCTACTGCTTCATATTGATAGATGCATTCATAATGTTATACTTAATGACTTTACCTCGCTTGAGGATTATTGTATGTCTAATATCATACATAGTAGAGAGCACAGTAATGCAGCCAACGATGGAAAACAAAACACTGTAACAAAGGAAAACCTATTGTAAACAATAATAATTACAAAGGCCTAAAGACTCATGAATGGTGGATTTAGGTAAAACCAATTGCCCAACATTCCGTTAATCCAAATTATCTTAACCCAGAATTAAACGATAAGTTTGATCTACGGATTAACATCAATCAACCTAATTTTTATGAATTACTATTCTTAAAAATAAACAACTATTAGACCTTCATTTTTATGGTCTTTATTTTCAGTAATTGTTCTTTTTGATAATTTTAATAATGAAAATATTTATCTCTACTAAACATTTGAACTAATAATAGTGTGATTTGAAAATTATAAATAACTTGAAAAAATCGAACTGCCTAAGGAATTAGTTTAAGAAATTAGTTTGAGATGCGACTCTTAACGCTAAAAATTAAATAATAATAGTGTGGTTTGCATTTTCAGTTTTGAGATTGATTCCAAGAACAAAAAAGTATTCATGAGTCAGTTTGTATTTAAACATTAAATTTTATTTATGTGGAATAATAATGATAATAGAAGTCCTAATCCTCTCTTTCTCATGGAAATGGGTTCAACCAAATTAAAAAAAAAATGATGGTTTCAATTCTTAAAACCATCGCCCCCTTATTAATAATTAAGTTAAGTACACCCTAGTTGAACTCTGGCTTAAATTGTCATTTACTATGGAAATGTCTTTTTAATCCAGGGTCCATCCTAGGTGTAACATTTTATTAATAAGGGTGGGAAATTGTTTTTACTTTTCCTATTTTTTTCTTTCCTTTTTCCTTTTTATGTCGCTTTGATGTGGCCTTCTTATGCGAATATTAGTTATAATCGTGGCCGTGGCCATCTTCAGTATTATCAGAAATATTTTGAAACAAAACAAAAAAGCAGCGTGAAAACAGTTATTCATAATATCGGTGCCAATTTGTTATCTAATCAAAAAGACCGGAAAATATAATTCTTTGAAATCCAAGTTGATACTTTAAGCCTTTTTTAAGCTGTCGATAAATTAATGTCTGCAGATGATGCTTGTATCGCGCAGGTGCTTATCAATTTGGTTCTGTCCAAATTATTGAATGTAAAACGTGCATAAATTTCAGTGATAATGCACAGACTACGAAATATGTAATGTGTACATTCCCCAAACACATTTTTGAGCGGCGTAGCTGAAAATCATATGTTTTTTATGACATAGAACTTTAATTTTTTTTTACACGAAAATATACAGAGGTTCCATTTTGAGGACAACATTATTAATGAGTATTTTCTTTTACAAATTCGACAAAAAATAATTGAACTAAGCGTTTCTAATTTTGGTGCAGTGTCCACATCCTTAATTTCTTACAATATGTATTTTTTTAGCTGAAGATCAAAACAGAACTTAGGGAAAAAGTATATTTTTGGATTATACAATCTATCTATTATCTAAGATTACCAAATTAAGCAAGTTTCCCAAATAACTGTGATTAAGTCACGCCCTTAAGTTTTGTCCGCGAAAAATTTATGATTTTGGTGTCAATAATGAAATAGCTCGTCAGTTTCTTTAAAGATCAAACAGGATTTAAACACTCCCATCATTCGTTAGGTTTAGTACCGCCCCCGCGAGCAGTGACGGCAGACGGGTGCAAGACCTCTGCGTCTTCCCGCCAAAAAGATTGTGATTAAGACTATAATTTTCCATTACAAAATGGAAAATTATAGTCTTAATCACATTAAACATAGGTACTGTCCCTCTTCAGTGACAATAACAAGGACTAATCAACTAAAAAGCATGAAAAAAAATAATTTTAACAAAAAAATTAAAACCGACGCCAACAATCACTTAAAAGTAGAAAATAAGTACGTCGTTATTTATTTATTAGGACAATATACCATGATTAATATTTTTGGAGTCGGTGCTGGTAAATTTAAAACCATTTCTTGAGCTTGGCACTAAGATATGACCGACTGACAGCATATTTTCTAATTTTGGTGCTTTAATATAAATTTTGGTGTTCTCTTAATTTTGGTGTAAGGAAAATCTAAAAAACTACTGGACAAAATTTAATGTCTTAATCATTTTAGAAACAGTATAAGTTTCCAATAAATTTGATCTATAATTAAAGAATAAAAATACACAAATAACAATTTCCACCAAAATTAGGCAAAAATATGCACTTGTTGATTTTCACCCGTACCTACACCTGATTGAAAAATGTACGTGTTAATATTATTATCTCAGTTTGAGATACGATCTGTTAATTTTTCCAAACAAAAATATTTGCTTTTGGATTCTTATGAAGGCCATTTATTTACATTAAACTGAACCGTATCGGTTCCAAATACTAAAGTAATAATGACTACGTCATCATCATTTTAATTGCATAATATTTTTTCAAAGATTCCACATCTACTGACCAAAATTTATCTCTACGGAGTTTCCTTAATCTGTCAAATCTCTCCTTCAAAAAGGATATTTCCGAATACGGCGACCTAGAACTATTTTTTATTATTTTGACCTCTGTGGGCTTTATCAGCTTAAAGATAACAATGTTTTGATTTCTAAATTACGTTTTATTTCTATTATTATGTTTTATTCATTTTGCTCTTTATCGTTTTTTTTTTCGTGATTTTTATCGTTTTTTTTTGGTATTATTATTTATTTCTAAACTTACACTGCGACGTAGTCAGCGGCAACCCAAGTTTTGTCATTGGAAAGTCGGACGAATGCTTCGTTAACAACCAAACTTGCTGTAGCGTTTGAAGTCAGGACATCCAAAGCATATTTCATGGGACAGACCTTTGGGATGCAAAAAGCCAACTCAAACTGCATACCAGCTAGAGGACTTACTGACTCTGACTCCTCGCTGAAACGTAAACGAAAACTGTTCAATAAAAGAATATATTTTTATCATACTCAAATAAAAGTTTCCTTTTTTACTAAACGAGTCGATTATGTAGTACATACTGTACATACCAGCAACTCATAGTACCCGTCATAAAATGACTAATTTATCTGAACTGCAAATTCACGAAATATTTGAAATAAATATATATTGTGTCGTCTTTTGTTGACTAGCCGGTAACTGTATTTACGTCGATGGAAGTGAATCAATGAAGCAAACTTTAAAACCTTACGAACCTTCTTAAGGTGTCACTTCCCAGCATCAATTGCGCGCCTTGCCTTGCTCGTTCATAGATATTCAAACCCAACAGCTGTTCATCATTGAAGTAAGTGGCATTCGGGTTTGGAATTATAGGCCAGGTTATCTCAGGTAAGTCGGGTAAGGAAGGTAGTTCTGGCAGAGATGGCCATTCGAAATCTTGTTGCAATGGTATCTGGACAACGGAGTATTTTCCTATGATCTCCATGTCCTCGGTCTGGTGTTTGATGTCGAGACATTGGAAATAGTTTCCGGTATCTCTGGTGTTGCCCTTGAGGATACTGCGAGGAGGGAATCTGAAGCTGGCATCGATAACTGAAAAAAGAAGTTAATTATTAAACCAGATCGGATAACTGGACTACTTCTTCTAGTATGTGAAATGTGATCGTGTGACTTGCAACAATTCAAGTGAAAACCTTGTGTTTGCTAAAAGTAGTGAATGGCAATAAGCGTGTGACGTAGTTCAATCGAACTGACGATCTAACGTGCCCTCAGAAGCACTGAAATCTATTTATTTCTTGTTCCAATAAGTCATGCCAATAAATTGGCATTAGTGGCACAAGAATAACACAATGAAAATAGTTACATAAGTGTGTTGTACTCTTTTGTCCTGAGTGTTGAACCCCGAATTCCAGAGTATTGCAAATGAACCACATAGGAGCTAACGGATTTGGTTGATTGAGGCATGTCAAAGGCGATGTTATAGCCTTCATATAGTTTTTACTAGGTATGGTTCTAAGTGAAGTCGCTACAACCCAAGCTTATTTACGTAAGTTCAGTTCAGTTAACGAATAATTCTAAAATTTAATAAGTAGGTATGTACATTTTTTTCTATCTTAGACCAATTTTCAAAATGAATACCTAACGTGTTCTCTCACTTATTTTGAGTGCCTACGTAATTTATCTTATCCTGATGTTGATAAAATATCAATAATTAGGTAAACGTGATGATATGCTTGCAACGTGTTTTAATGTCTACAATAGAAATCAATTGAGATAGCCTTTGAACTTTATAAAGGATTGTATCTTATCCGCAAAAAATATGTAAAAATTATTTTGACACAGCTTCTTCAGCTTTTAATCTGACTTTAACAGATCTCAGATCAACTAATATACCTGGTGAATGAAGGTCGACAATAAAGGTTCGACCAAACCAATGCGTGCAGCCCGCGTGCCCGATGGCGATGGCGATGGCGAACAATGCGTTTACATTTATTTATTTATTAAGGTACAGCAACAGATTGCAAATTATGGCTTAAAAATAAAGTACATTGAACAAAGATTAACAATTAATTTGCACTCCGATTGTAGCTGAACACAACATTTTGTTTTAGTCTAGCTTTGATTTAAGTGATACAGTAATTCTAATAAATACATGCATGTTAATTTACAATTTGCACCTACACGATTTAAGAAAAGATGCACGAGAAAGTGAGAAAACATCTAGATCCTTGCTAATTTCATTGTAAGCTCTCATTCGGAACACTGGATTGTTGTACATTACATTATTCTGACATTTTGGCAAAGAAAATAGTTTTTGCGTTCTTTTACTACCACCTATTTTAAGTGAAAAATGGCTCAACAGTTCACTGCAGTCCCATTCGGAATTCAAGATCTTATAGAGCGTAGGCATGCCAGCAATGCCTCTCCTAGATTGAAAGGTGCTCTGCTCACCCTAAACATCTGATACTTAGCTATCGCTATCGCCATCGCGCACGCGTTAATTTGGTCGAACCTTTGTTGTGGAAATCCATGGGGGAGGCATTTGTCCAGCAGTGGACAGTAGGTTGGAGAAAATAGATTCAATCACGAATGTTTCATTGCCTCATTCCAGTAATCAAAATTAGTAATAATACTCACATCGAATCATAAGCCCTGTGTTCGCAACTATGTACGCCACTTGTCTGTCACATTCTTCTAAGTCAATAACTTCTTCGTAGAGATTCAAATCCAATGCATTATTTGAGGTAGGAGTTACTGGTTCAACATATGCGTGTGCTGAAAGCACATATAGTGCACTTATCACAGTATATTTCCAAAATATAAACATGTTTCCAAACTTATTTCATTAATTATTTAATAGCACAAAAAAGGACAGTGCCTTTATCCTCATTACATTTGCATTTAATTATAATAACCAGTGCTACTGGTTAATATACAATTTAACTAATCAAATCTTATCTGGAATTTGAAAAGGCGGCAAAGTGTGATTTTACCGAGTAGAAAGTTCCGTATATTTTCATCTGATTATTTCATACAATTTCACATTTAGGTATATAGATTTTAACTATAATTTAGAACCTTAACTTCGAACTCTTAACTTTCTCTCTCTCTCTCTAACTCTTCGAACTATGTACATTATGTATGTTCTTATAAATAATTTCGTTGCAGGTCCAAGGACAATTTAAGTGTGGTTTAATTTTCCACCAGGGCAAACATGACCTTCACTGCTTGGGTTTTTCTTGGTGTTCAAGCTATAGATCCTGACTAAACTGGAGTACCCATAAATTGTCAAGCCCTCACTGTTAGTCAGTTATAAACAAACACTTGAGTATCCCTACGGATTTCATTTAATTATTTTTAGGGAACCCAAAAAAGAATAATCAAAATTAAATGATACGAACCATCTGAATTGTTGTTTATAAATCCAAATGACTCCTCATTAATTCTTTCTCTTTATCATAAAAGAAAAGAGTTCATTTTTCGAAAAGCTTTCACTCTCGGAATTTTTTTTCAATTTGGCCAGTGAATTTATTATAATTGCTTTGCCTATTCCAAAATAGATAAAAATAATAATTCATATTAAAGCGTTACGTATTATTATTTACTTATTATTTACCGAGTAGAACAATAATAGATAAAATAGATTTTATAGGTATTTCCAAAAGCTTAAACGTAAGTCACTAATTGCTTATTGCTTTGTCATTAAATTGATTACACAGTTATCTAATAACTGGAGATAGGTAAACAATACATAAATTACACACACGTGCCTCAATTTCAAGTTCTGAACATAGCCCTCATGATTTCCATTTTGACCAGTTTGTAGCGGCCTGCATCCAGCGATTTCCTGCTACCTTTATGAGGTTGTCAGTCCATTTTGTGCGCTGCGCTATCCGGTACGTGGCCTCCACTCCAGAACCTTGTAACCCATCGGCTGTCAGTTCTGGTTATATGTTATCTAGCGTACTAACGTGCCCTGCCCATTGTCATTTTAGCTTGCTTATCCGTCGCCCAATAATTATTAATTTAATTATTTGAAACTTAATTGCATGGAAATAACGTTTCTATGAGAACAAAAAGAGAATTTTATATTTTTGAGGTTAAATACCGCCTTTTTAGGGTTCCGTAGCCAAATGGCAAGAAACGGAACCCTTATAGATTCGTCATGTCTGTCTGTCCGTCCGTCTGTCCGTCCGTATGTCACAGCCATTTTTTTCCGAAACTATAAGAGCTATACTGTTGAAACTTGGTAAGTAGACGTATTCTGTGAACCGCATTAAGATTTTGATGCAAAAATAAAAAAATAATAATAAATATTGCGGGCTCCCCATACTTAGAACTGAAACTCAAAAATTTTTTTTTCATCAAACACATACGTCTGGGGTGTCTATGGATAGGTCTTTAAAAATGATATCGAGGTTTCTAAAATACTTTTTTTCTAAACCAAATAGTTTGCCTGACAGACGCTTCCAAAGTGGAAAAAATAAAACTTATGATGTACATTACTAAACTACCAACGAAAATTGTTTTGAACGAGATCTAGTAAGTAGTTTTTTTTAATACCTCGTAAATCGTAAACCGCTTATAACCGCGTAATCTTTCATACAAATAACTTAAATTAAAAATAATAATTTTAATTTCATAAATCAATGGTACGGAACCCTTTGTCCGTGAGTCCGACACGCACTTGGCCGGTTTTTTGTTGTGAATTACATAACTTGCACCCACTCGTATCAACAGAAATGGTTGTTGTTGCCATGGTGCAAGCCATATAAATGGCCCTCGGATGCCACAATGTTTATTTTCAAAATCAAATTGATAAAAATTAGATATAAAAAAATCCCAACTCATGTCTAAGAGATACAAAGCTATGATTGTATGATTTATTAGTGTCATAATTGTTTTTGTAATGGAAAAATCACGTTGAAATAAGCATGATATCTCCAATAATCATATCACGTAAAGGTTAAGCATGTGTAAATCATGGGCAGGCTTGATTATCAGTTTTGATTGCCAGTGTAATGTCTCCAAGATTATATAATAAACTAGCGGCCGCCCGCGACTTCGTACGCGTGGATCTCGTTTTACCCCCCCTTCATCTATCTTACGCGGTTCAGATTTTTTCATACAAATGTTTTTCCCGCTAACTCCCGTTCCCGTGGGAATTTTGCAATATCCTGTTGTAACTAAGCTTTAAGTTTACTAAGGTACCTGCATGCCAAATTCAAGCGTCTACCTTACGCGGTTTAGATTTTTCATACATATGTTTTTTCCCGCTAACTCCCGTTCCCGTGGGAATTTTGCAATATCCTGTTGTAACTAAGCTTTAAGTTTACTAAGGTACCTGCATGCCAAAATTCAAGCGTCAAACTTAAGCGGTTTAGATTTTTCATACAAATCTTTTTTCCCGCTAACTCCCGTTCCCGTGGGAATTTTGCAATATTCTATTGTAACTAAGCTTTAAGTTTACTGAGGTACCTGCATGCCAAATTTCAAGCGTCTAACTTAAGCGGTTTAGATTTTTTTATACAAAAGGATTTTCCCGCTGATTCCCGTTCCCGTGGGAATTCCTAAGTATCCTATAACCTGCCCAGGAGTATGAAGAATAATTGTACCAAGTTTCGTTAAAATCCGTCAAGTAGTTTTTGTTTCTATAAGGAACATACAGACAGACAGACAGACAGACAGACAGACAGACAGACAAAAATTTTACTGATTGCATTTTTGGCATCAGTATCGATCACTAATCACCCCCTGATAGTTATTTTGAAAATATATTTCATGTACAGAATTGACCTCTCTACAGATTTATTATAAGTATAGATGGGCGAACCAGCTCTAGCATCAACCACTCATCATCATTATCATAAACCTCATTTATTTTTGCTAATAGACTTTTAAAAAGCACACGTCCCAATATTAACACTACCACTGCTTCGGGACAATAAACGGGCCAGTGCTGAGAAGAAGCAGCGCCACAAACTCAGTCACTATTGTCAGCCTCCTTTTCAAGGGTTTACGTCTGGTCGGTTCAGCCATAGAACGTCCACTGCTGAACATAGGCCTCCCCCAATGCTTAGTAGCGGCCTGAATCCAGCGCCTTCCTTCTACCTTTATGAGGTCGTCGGTCCATCTTGTGGGTAGACGTCCTACGCTCCATTAACCTAATCGAACAGAATTTTTTGCCAATTCTTAGGAATCGAACCCGAGACATCTGGGTCTGAAGCGATTTATCTTACCACTAGACCATAGAGGCGGCTGTCCTCATGAAGAGATGCCCTCCTAAGGAGATAACCTCATAAAAGTTGCAGAAAGTCGCTGGGTGCACGCCGCTACCAACCGGCCCTATGGACATCCTATGACTGAAATGATGATGATGAGATATTATAGATAATTATTATGGTTTTTTGACAGTTCACTGAAACTGTAAGATTGAGCGTTAACTTTAAAGAATTCATTATGACATAGGTGTATTCATAACAATTTTAGCTGAACAAACATCTGAAACCGCTAAACATTTGGCATACCTATTTTATATATTTTTTTAATTGATTCACTTGTCCCGCTGGTGTGATATCCATTAAATTGTAAATTTAGTTTAAGGTTCGATGGGGCTGTCGTATCCTAATAGACAAAAGCCCCCAAATAATTTAAAAAAAACTTTAAAGAATTCAAGTTGGAAACCGAATATTGTAACATGAGTGTCACTGATTACCAAAATACATTTTTCGATAAAAAGTGTGTCATAATTAATATTACGCGATAATCAAAACGCGTATCAAGTCGTACACCATTTTCAGATAAAAAACCATAAAACATATTGCTAGTTGAATCACCTGCCTGGGAAAAAAGTTCTTATTAGTACGTCTGTAATATAAGCTATAAAAAAAACGACATACACTTTGATAAGTAGTAGCATTTAAGATTGTGGTAATCTGGTGTTACATAAGTTACATACAAAACAAAATATGATTTTACTTATATTGATTAATTACGCAAACCTTCTTCCAAATTTACTTTCAAAAAGGCTCTGCGCAAACATTTCAAGGAATGACCTTTTTTTCTCAATTTTCTCGCTATCTCAGACATGAGTGATGTGTACATCTATAATATTATTATGTTTATGTATTTATGTGTATGTCTATTATATTTATTTGTATTATTTGTATTATGTTATTTATTTTATGTAATCTTATGTAAGTAGGTTTATTATCAAAAATGTATATATACCTGACATAAAATATATGTATCAAAACGCAACAATTAACCTAGATATTAGCACGGCACTAAAGAAATTTATTCAAAACTGCCACGCGGTCTCGTGCTAGATGGGCGTCTTAAAGGCCACCTTCTATCAACGGGAGCGCGTGGTAAGTAACTTGCTTCTGAATGTATGTAACTTCCTACTTTTTTATTTTTAAACCGGCAGACAGTGGTGACTGAGTTTGTTGCGGCGCTTCTTCTCAGCACTTGCCAAATGTTTGTCTCGAAGCGCTGGTAGGGCAAAAAAAGAATGAGACATGTATAGGCTCCTTAAGAGCATTTGACGATTTGCAAGAACTAATTTAATTAGTCTAAACAAATAAAGATAATTTTGATTTTGATTTTGTAAATTTTTTGCACCGCCTTACTCTTTCTGCATGACCCGTGGTTGACTGGCAGAGAATGCCATCCGGCATTAAGTCCGCCACAGTGCATTTGTTACTTTGTGTGCTGAAGTATAAATAAATAAATAAATAAAAATATTGTAAGATTATTACAATGCAATCTGAAATACAAAGTTGAAAAGTAGTAATTCTTCAAGCTAGCCTATACAAGGGTATAATATACATAAAATAATGTATATCCTGTAATTAACTTATGCCCGTTTTCACCATCAATCCCTAATTTTTAAGTGACC